AAGTGAGCATTTTTCCATATGAGCTTTCTTCTATGTGAGCATATTTCCTTGTGGGCCTTTTTTCCTGTGAGCTTTTATACCTGTGAGCATTTTTCCGGTCACCACTATTTGCATTTCAAATTTAATCAGAAAACTCAGCAATTTAAAAGAAAAGAGTTGTCACTTGTCAAAACATTATCTTTCATATGCATTATGTTGCCATTTAGAAAAGCATAAGATATTGATTTTGCCTTTCCAACTTAATCCTTTTGTTATTGATTAATAAACAATTTAAAATTTCTGTTATTAATTACTAATTGAAATCATGAGATTATATTAGCTGATCAAAATTATGATATATTTTTCTTTTAGATAACAACTATTTTAGACAGCCGATCATGCAAGCAGCTAGTCATACAAAAATACAAAAATTTTGATTCACATATTACAAAAATTAATCAAGATACCTCATTTCAAAATTTGGGATTTTTGATAACATTTTCAACTTGCCTCAAAGGTTCAGTTAATAAATAAATAAAAATGCAAGGTTAATTTTTGTCCCCTTTCAAATGCCAATGACTAAAATAAACTCAGTGACACAATAGCCCTAGTGGACCATGGCAGTATCCTGAAAACTGCTTTCTTGACCCTGGGCCCCGGGGTGCATCAGCATATGCCCTAGGCAAGTGAACCGCTTGTCACAGGCCCCCCCAGTGTTTAGTCTCTAAGCGAACTCGGTATTCATTTTATTGACCCACTCAAGGAATGAAAGGCTGAGTCAACCTAGCCCAGCCCGGGATTAAATCCTGGACCTGTGGTGCAGCTGCACAACATGCTAGCCACTTTCCAAAGACCAATGAGTAATTTTTTTTTTGGTCATTTACTAATGTATAACTTTCTTTTATTTATAATTTAAATTTTTAGAAGTTTATAAGTTTTCAAATGCTAAAAATACATTATTAATAGTCTCAATGTTTTATTAGTTTAGAATCATAATCTATTAATCACACAAAAAACTGTTATGTATTAATTGTTATTATTTTCAAGCTTTAAATTTTGCTTACTTAATTCAGTTTTGATCAGTAATTAAAGTTATTAATTTTTGCTTTTGTTGTTTAAAGTTGGTTGTAAGTTTAAACTGTAATTTTTGTAAACTTTAAATTTAGGTTTCGTTGTTTTAAAGTTTTCTCATATTGAAGTTGTTTAATTTTTAATTTGAGTTTAGGGACTTAAGTTTACTTGGTTTTTGTACTTTTGTTTTTGACCCTTAAGGTTGTTTAACTTTTAACTTTAATTATTTTAAAGCCTTCTTGCTGCACTTTTGGTGTGTTCATTTTTTTTTAACTTAAGGTAACTTAACTTTTTACCCCTCTTTCTATTAGAGTTATCGAATGTTGTTTAAAGTTGGTTGTAAGTTTAAACTGTAATTTTTGTAAACTTTAAATTTAGGTTTCGTTGTTTTAAAGTTTTCTCATATTGAAGTTGTTTAATTTTTAATTTGAGTTTAGGGACTTAAGTTTACTTGGTTTTTGTACTTTTGTTTTTGACCCTTAAGGTTGTTTAACTTTTAACTTTAATTATTTTAAAGCCTTCTTGCTGCACTTTTGGTGTGTTCATTTTTTTTTTAACTCAAGGTAACTTAACTTTTTACCCCTCTTTCTATTAGAGTTATCGAATTTATATTTTCTGAATGGTGGTAAGGTAAATCAATAATAATTGAAACTCTCTGGATAATAAGTGTGTATACTTAATTTTTGCTGAAGAATCAATTTATATTGTGCTGACATTTTTAATGAATTTAATTGCTAAGTAATAGTTTAAATTTTAATGTCCTAAATTCTTTCATTGTGTTGAATAACTATCCACTGGTTCTGAAAAATTTTCTCATCCAAACCGTCGGCTTGGAATTCATTCTCAGAATCCCTTATCTGGGGATTACTGCACCCCGAAATTCTTTCGTCCAAACGTTTGAACACACGTATGATGTTTTCACCACATGTTCTGATGACGGCGCCACATGCAGTATTTTGCATAACCAGGACCCCGGTTGCTGTGACATCTCTAGCAGGGAAATGTTCTACACAGAGTTAATTTATGAGAGTGAAAAGTCATTGGATAAGAAGCTCACAATGTCGGATCTGCACCTTGAGACGAGGCTAACTTAACCCCCTTTTCCATCAGCAGAGAGGATGTTGACCCAGTGGAATGGACTTGGAGGCTGAATGGTTTAATCGCACTAGTTGACGTCTTCTAGTAGTCAAGAAACCCCTTCCCATGAAGATTTCTCTGTTTGGGTTGCTGTGCTTGGGGTTCTTCCGATCATCTTACTTAGCCAATTTTTTCAAAAGCGCGCCATGTATTAAAGTGGCTGCGCTGTGGATGACGAGGAGGAGACGGAGAAAAGAAATTTCATACAGACGTTCGAAGAAAAAACAAAAGATGACTTCTAAGGTACAGAGTGGAGACCAGCAGTTCGGAGTCACAGGTGTGACAAACGATTAAACAACCTACACAAACAACCTACACAGAAGAAAGGTGTACTGAATCCAGAATTCCTGACTTAAGTATGGCTGGTGTTTTGGGAAGGACCCGAGTCCTACTGGTTGGAAGCGGCTGTGGGGAGAAAGCCTGCCTCCGAAAGAGTTGTCCTTGATTAACTTTTCCCATATTTTCTTTTCTTCTTACAGATGTATCTTCAGACGTATAGTTATTATTTCCTGCCTCATGACAGTTATCCTGTCTTAGTTTTGCAACCATATCAAGTATCCAAATTTTTGCATGATGGATCCCATCCGGGAACTGTGAAATATTATATATGTTAAAGAAGGTATGTTTCACTTTTCTGTTGTTTCTTCAGATAATTAGATGACCAGTAACCATCAATTTTAAAAATGTAACTTGTATTCTTAATCGTATCACCACAAATAAACGTTCGTTTGATTTTACTTACCTTGTATTGTAATTAATTGCAATTAATTTTACCCTGTCTTAGAATGGGTTTTTTAATGGACACAACGCAAACCTTTTTTTGTAATTTAGAATTGTTTATGTTTCATTCTGATAATTACGTGTATTGTTATTTAATGTGATTGATACAGTATTGGTTGAAAAAATGTTTACTTATGTTTGCACATATTCACGCATTACCTACCAATATAGAGGTATTAACAAGAAAATTTTCAAATACACAGTACAGTCAAAAGTCATTAATTCGGACACCCATAATCCGAACCTCAAAGCTACAAACTTTCTGCGCATGCGTCACTTTGACGCATGTGCGTAAGATCTTTACAGCTGCGAATATGCTTGCGCACGTGCGCAAAATACGTTTACGAGTGCGCGTTTAATGTATAACGGATGGTACAAGCTAAGCTAAAATTATCTAATTATCTATTTCAGTTAATGTTGCAGATTGCGTTGTTCCTTAATCTTCGAATTGGATCCGGCTTATTATTTTTTGCAGACTGTTACAGCAATTTTAATAAAAGTAAGCTTGAACTTTCAATTATGTCAAATAGAATTTCTGATATATATATTTATTAATATGTAAAGGATCTACAAAGCGAAAATATATTTCGAAGTTCATTAAACAAAAAGTGGAATTGCTGCAAAAATAGGATAAAGGCATATCCTTTGTTTATCTAAACTCTAAACTTTGTTTATCTTTAACGCCGCAGCATGCAATGAATTGGAAGTTGATCTGTCAGCACTATCCTTATCTTCAGGGCAGATGTTTTTATTTTATTTGGCTTATAATTCCTTACTAAATGTAGTATTTCATCTCGATGTTCTCCGTCTTTGATATGATTTAAATCAAATTCCTCGTCATTATAATTTGCTTCCGATAGCGAAGACAGTAACAGAGGTTATTGAACACGAAAAAATTTCAATTGACAAATTAGTCGGTAGACACAGCAATTATAGGACTTGAACAGCAGAGCTTTGTAACTGAACAAGAAATTATGTCTGTTTATAGAATTAAAGAGAATGTATTATCACATAAAAAACGAAGCAACTTAAACAACTTACATTGAAAGAAATGTTTAATAAAGTAAACAAATAAATATTAAGCTCTTTTTGTAAATTTTGATACCCTTTAGATCATAATTGTTCTTTATTTCATAAATTACGGTTTCATATTTTTAATTTTACAATTTCTGCATGCCATCTTACCAGATTTAAAATGATGATCTATAATCCGGAAAAATCGATAATCCGGAATCGCCGAAGTCCCGACGAGTCCGGATTAATGACTTTTGACTGTATTGATATTTGGTAGTACCCATTGTAATATCTTATGTTATAGTCTTCTATACTTAATATAGAACAAAACTTTCCTAAAATAGAATTTTTTTTTTTTTTTTTTTAATTTTAAATTCATGCAAACAATGTTAACAGTTGTCTGTGTATCAAAACTAAAGAGTGTTTTTTATAACAGAAATGCTACAAGATTGTGAATATAATCTCGTTTCTTGAAAACATTCATATCGATCAATATTCTTATGACAGTCAGCAGAGAAATGCTTGCATTTAACTTACTAACACCAGTAACCTTTTTTCTAAATTGATATTTTCTTTTTAATTACACACAAGTGCCAACATTTTGCTCTTCAATTTGTGTACAGCCTCTGAGTGATCTCAAATTTAAAAATTAAATATCTCATTCAATTTTTGTCACACAAGACTTCTGCATTTTATTTCTTATATTGAGGGGGAAAAAAAAATTCTAAATGTCTAACAGGGACTGAGGAATGGTATTAAAAAATTATACTTCACAGCTTTTACAAACTTGGAAAAAAAAAATTCTCTGCATTATTATAGCATTTTTTGAAACTGAAAGTATGAGTTTACAATCAACAGCTGGAAAAAATAAAGATTGCATAAGGACTTTAGTGGTTTATATAAATTCTCATCTTGCGCATTTAAAACTAACCTTAAAATACACTTAATTCATAAAACAATTTTGCAAAAAAGTAATACTTAAATTTCATGAAAAACTTTAAGAAAATACAAAGCAATACCTTTTCAGGTGCAGTTGACATAACCTTTCTTTCCTTAAGTTTTCTAGCTTTATTCAAGGCATTGCTCAACTCTTTTTCAGCTAAATCTTCATCTATAACTACATCTGAAGCATCATCCATTTTTTCTTCTATTAAAAAAAAAGGTAGCTAAATTATGAAAACACTAAAATACATTTATCAAAACTGAATGTAGTAAATTAGAAATTTTTATTAGTTAATAAAAATAGAAATTAATCTTAAGCTATGTCTGTCTACCTACACTAGGCAATGTTTTATAACAGCTCTCTCCCAACATTTGTTGAACCAGCCCTGACAGGCCAGTCTGCACAGGAAAATTTGTTAAGGAACATAACTGGACAATCAGTATGCTGGTATCAGTGGAATGACCATAAGCATGCCATTGAACAAACTACCAGGAACTTAGCCCACTAGTAGTTAATTAAATAACATTTTTGAGTCTTTAATCAGAAATAATGGAAGCTCCTACTATATATATATTGAGAAACTTGGTAACAAGTAGGTTTTTGTTTCTTTCACTCTTGAAGAAATTTTACACTGTTCACTTTAAGGACACATTCAAAACAATCAATACCTTTAGCAATTTTGCAGCAGAGTAATGTAATTCTGCAGGAATGTTAAAGTTTATTCTACTGTAATTGGTGGCTTATACTAATACATAATTGCCATAACTTGCATACTGAATAATACATGTTATGAATTGTTTGTTGCCTTTTTTATTATTCTAATAAACTTGATTTATGATGCAAGATTTTTTAACAGCATAATTACTGATTGATTTCTTTAACTGATGTACTGAAATAAGAATTTTAAACTTTTGAGTGATGTATTTTTACCTCATATCATTAAATAAATCTACAAGAAAATAAGAATATAGTTACAGAAAAGACTTTAAAATATAACAGCTTTTCTAGTGCTAGTTTCTTATTTTCTAAAAGGTCTGACAAATAACAAACACTTAATTTAACCTTTCTCTGCATTTGGACATACTTTTTTCATACAGTAACTGATATTTTAGCCTTATCCTTAAGAATTTCTACGGGGAACAACAATTCTTTAAAAATTCTCTGGTATTAGTATGGCTAGCTTAATCTCAAAACTGTCCTACTTAAAGATGTGATATTTTTTATTCAGAATAATTACTAAAAATAAGAAGTTATATTATATGCTATTTATTAAGTGATCTATTTTATTTTCTTTATGTAGTTATAATGCATGTTTTAGTACAAATCTAATTATCAGCAATTTAAGTTGCATTTTATGTTACTCAGACACGAGACAGACGTTCTAGGCTCCACTACAGCTGGACTCAACTTGAGAAAAATCAAGTTTTCTATGTATCTGGTATAGATTATGTTAGTCATCTCTACCTAAAATCGAAAGGCAAAACTTGGATCATTTTATTTACTTCCACTTTACACCAAGCAGTCCATTTCGAATTAGCCCACAAATTTGGGTAAAAGTACAAATTTTTTGTTTTTAAAAGATTAAATTTTTATCTCTTCAAAGATGTGTCACACTTATTCATCAAAAGAGTAGAAATATTGGAATTTGTCATTCTTTTTTAAAGCACTTCAGAGCTTATACACCATTTAAATAGCTGGCTAATGTTAACTAATAGCTTAAACTTTTATCTTTCCCAAGATGTGCCACACTTATTTATCAAAATGGTAGAAGTACTGGAATTTATCATTCTTTCTCAAAGCAGTTCACAGCTTATACACCATTTAAACATCTGGCTAATGTTAACAAACCTCTCTTTCCAAATAGCTGCTCAGTTAATGCTGTACATAGATTATTAACGTAGCTGAAAATTTTCTACTTCTTTATGCTTGAAAAATTGGCAACAGTTAACTGCAACTCTTTTTATGAATTTTAGCAGTTTTTACTGCTGCTTGTGCATTCTTTTTGCTGAATTTCACTCATATCTTGGCTCATACACTTAGACTGCTGCTAGTTAAGTGATATTTTATTGCTTTTATACAGTTAATTTAGAATGAAAAAAAGTAAGCACTTGTTCAAAAAGCATTAAAATGTTGGAAAACCAGTTGTTAGTGACACTGAGACTAGTGCTGAGACAGGTGAAACTGTGGTTACTGAAAGTGACAAGTTGAACACTATTTTGCACAAATTATAGAAAGCCTTTAGAATTTTTCAATACTGAAACTCTTTCAAATTTTTCAATATTGATAAATTAGAAATCACCAAATCAAAAGTAAATGTGCTTGATTTAAACATGAGATTGTGATGCTCTTCATAGTACTGGGAAAGGTCAAACAGCTGGCAGAATTTTGCATGGAGTGATGAATTTACCACCTCCACCTAGAAAATTTTCCCAGTACATTTATGTTTTGACTGTTGCATCAGAAATTGTATGCACACAACAAATGAAGAATGCATATCAAATAATGATAATAACAGAGATCTGTGTGTTACCTTTGATGGCAAATGCAGAAGCGTGGCCATCTATCACATAATAGTGTTGCTACAGCGACAAGTGTTCATACAGGTAAAGTGATAGACATATAAATTATGCTTAAATTTTGTATTTGCCCCCTCCCTAAAAGTCACTTCACTTGTTTGCATGTGTGGCTAATTACAGTGGAGCAAGTGGCGGAATGGAGGTCAATGATATCAAAGACATTTTCAACCGATCTCAAACATTGTATGATGCTTGCTATGTCAAATATCTTGGTGATAGTGACTCAAAAGTGTTCAAAACGCTAATGTAAAAAAAAAAAAAAAAAAAAAAAAAAAAAAAAACCTTAGTGATGGAAAGTCATTAAGGTAGAAAAACAGGCTAACTGACAATATTATGCAGATCCAGACATTTTATGGTTTAGCCATTAGAAGAAACATGCTGAATATTTTCATCTGCAGTTGAGCAATGAAAATCCAAATCATAGACCCAGTATAGTTGGAATCTGGAAGGAGAGTTTCATCGTGCCCAGGCAAAGGTGAAACATATGCTTGTTCCTCTTCCAATAATGGAAGTCATCAAGCCAACATTTAGCAAACCCTGAGCTCCTCAGAAAATGTTTGCACAAGAAAACCCTTAGTCAAAAGAATCTGTGAACAGTGTGAGCTGGACTCAAGAGCCAAAAAATGTGTTTGTGTGCATTTAAACCTTAAAATTTGGAGTTTTTGATGCCTTTTCTTACTTTCAGGATTCGATAACACACTTTATCGAAGATTGGTGTAATTTTTCACAAAATAATATCATCCCAGTAAAGCAAGTGCAGGCTACAGCATGAACATTTTTAATAATAATGCCATATTTCAGTTCAGAAAAATTTTAAAACAAAAATAACAACAAATCACATTAGAAAGAAGTACACTGAGTCTCAAGCAGAGAAAAAGAAAAGATAAAAGAAGAAACCACCAAGTACAGTTACCTTACATTTTATGAAAGTAAACATCTCATCTAAACAATAGCATCTTATCTTGTCATTTCCCACTTATGCCATCCACTCTCCTTCATACGGATACAGCATAATTAAATTAAGTTTTTATCTGTTTTATCTATCTAATAATGCATTCAGTTTTTTTGTTTTATATTTAATGATTTCAATGGTTTTAAGTAATGAAGCTGCATACAAAGTACCATTATTAAGTTCATATAAATGATCATCAGTGCTCCAGGAATGAATTAATATATTTTACATTAATTTCTAGGGGTAAAATTTTTTTGGTTTATGAACAGTTGGGCTGATGAAGTCTTCATGAATCAATGTTTCACTATACATAAAAGCACAACAATTGTAGAAAAACATATTTAAAATGCTTGGTCAAAAAACAGAATTACCAAATAAATAATAGATTCAATATAACTAAAACATAGATTTAAAAATAATGCTAAAATATAACAATTTTTTTTAACTGTAGTCAAAAAATACGAATCGTCATTTTTTAAGGCTATCTGCCACTTATGCGCCACATTTTAAGATAAGAAAAAATATTTATTCAAATGCAGTTCTATTCTAAGCATTGTACATACAACAATATGAATATTACAACATTCTTACCTTCAAGGAATGGTATTTCAGTTCTTGTTTCTTGAACTGTCTCTTCTGGTTCAGAAATCCTTTGTCTTCTCATTTTCCTACAGAAGAGATACTTAAGCAACATAATTTTAAAAAGACATGACTAGAAGGCATGACAAAAAGGGAGGGGGAAAATCAGTTTGTAAAATATGGATATGGTAATCCCTGGATTGAACAAAATATACTTAAAAATAAAAAGTTTTAAGCAATATAAAAAAATATTTATCAGTTACATGAAAGAAACATGAATTCTTTTGTTTTGAATACTTTTGCATTAAATATGAAGAAAGAAAACCATTTTCTAACCCACAGTGACAAAATTGAGAACAGTTAATACCACAGTAACTCCAAATGTATTGAACTGCTTTATTAAAAATAAAAAATAAATAAGTAAATAAATAAATTAAAAAATAATAATAAACATGCTTACAAAAACCTTCTTACTTTAAAAAAAATCGAAGCTAAGCTGCTGATGTGCAACATACATAATTTCATTATTTAATAGATGCTCTCCAAGTGTAAATTGTGAGATAATTTTGGCAGGTTATAAAGATCTTTTGTTTTGCTATATGGTCATACATATTTATTAAATTATAGATCATATTATTATCTGATTATTTTCTTCTAAATAAAATATCTTCTTTCCTTTTATTAGAGAATCTATATGCTTGTGGGTTACAAAGCTGAAATATTATGGGAAATATTGGTCAGGGAGATCAAGATGCATGATTCAATAATGTCACTGATCAACATGTATTGGCATTATTCCTATGATGTAACATAACAAGTTATTTACTATATAATATCATAAGAGTAAGAGTAACATCTAAAATTTATATAGAATTAATACAGGCTATAACAGATTAACCCTTTGACGATTGCGAGATTTGCTAGTAAGACTCGTTCATTACCGTTTAAGTAGAAACTTGTAATGCAAACAATGTTCATTTATGCCCACTACCATGCATAACTGGAATGCAAGCTGAGCTTGTTGATGACCATTACAAGGTTAGCTGGGCTCTCTTAAAAAAATTTATATATTGCAAAACAATGGAAAAATTGTCATCACAAATCAATGTGTTAAACAAAATGAACTAAAAATACAAAAAGAAAAATATTGAGAAAGCAATAGTAAAAGCAGACAATGTCTGCCAGAAGCTTTTTTTTTTTTTTTTTTTTTTTTTTTTTTAAAGTAAATTTGAACTTAATGGGATTATTCAGGCTAATCTTATACTATGCTGAAAAGCAAAAGCAGAACGTGCCATTTATAGCATCATTTTATGACGTTGTTTCTTCCATCTTTTTGAATATTACTTTAATGTGCATAAATAAATGAGTTTATTCTTCCTCTCTTATTCCCCCCCATTTTATCAAATTGCTCTTGGATCAACAGTAATTTTGAGTTAATTGTGGATTATCCCAGTTAATTGAGAGATGACTGCATTTGAAAACTGCTTCTCATTGTTAAATTATATAATACTCTTCATTATATGTTTCAAACACACAAACATATAACATTTATTTTAGAATCGCAGAATAAGAGTCATTTCTGAAAATAAAAAATTTCAACTGACCTTGAACCCAAATCACTTTCTCCATCATCCATCACATCTCCTAGAAGATCGTCTGCTTTCAATATGGAGGGCTTGCGCAGTTTTTTCTTCTTCTTTGGCTTTTTGAACTGCACCTGGAGATTCAGGAAGCACCTATTGTATCACCAAAGCAAAAGATAAAAGGAAACAAGGACAAAATAACATATGCCCAATGGGAAGTAATTTTTAAACATTTGATATAGATGATAGCAATGCATGTACATTTAAAAATAATAGAGCACTTATATTATTCCAAATTATTTCTTCCAATAAGAATTGTTTATCATAATTTTTGTGCTCTGCTCCCTGATTATATGCTCACTACAATAACAACATCAATTATGTGGCTTTTTAAGAATTGATAAGGACAAAAGAAGTGGCTAAGGCTTATTTTATTTCAAATATTTCAAAATATAGCTCTTGTTTATCTGTTATTTGTCCGAAGAAAAACAGGATTTTGACTGGATTGACTTTGAGAACAAAACATGCAATCTCAAATAATCTCTCTATCAACCAAGTCCCAGTTCTTATTTTAACACTTTGTTGGAAGTTTAGTTGACACTACCTTGCTAGCATACATTTCTGTTACATATAAATTTACTGTATGAGAAATGGAACACTCACAATTCTTTGGGAAAATATAACACATCTGAATTGCTTCTGTTTCAGTCTTCAGTAAATATAGCAAAGATGATGCAAAATGCAGTAAAAATTAACATGAGACAAACAAACACCTTATGAATTTTACATAAAGAAGAGTTAACAAACAGTGTTGCTATCCAAATATGTGCACTTTTAAGTTTCAAGCTAATGTTGAAATAAGATTGTTTGGTAATGATGTAATCTATATTTAGTCATTTATTTATTTTTTAGATGGTAGCAATAATTCTTTTATCCCAAAGGGGCAATTTGCCCAGAAGGACTATTAATTTTGTTTTGGCATTTTGCATTAATTCACTATAAACGGAGAATCATTTTTTTAAATTGTTGCCATCAAATATTAGAGCCCTGTATTATACTTAAAAAATTAAATAATGAAGAATCTGCATAAACGTATATATGTTTCTCGCATTGTGATAAAACAACGGTACCTAGAGCCACCAAATTTTGAATAATGTACATCTCCACCCGAATATGGGCATTTGGAAACCCCAATTTGGAATTTTATTATTTTCTTATTAATATTTTCTAAAGCATGTGAGTTTTTGGTTATGAAACTCAGCGATTTCAAAGCGAGCAATGGCAACACTGTATGGGGGAAAAACATTTTTATCCCCAGCGCACGATACTGTGTATTGGAAATTCTGAAGATATGCTCTTTTAAATATTTTGTGATATTGCTGTTGAATTGAATTTTATGATTTAAGTGCAAATAACATGATATTTAATAAATAAAGGTATCACAAAAACGTTAAAAAAACACCCCTTTGGGCATGATATTAAATTTGAAAGCCTTCAGATTTTTTATTTATTTATTTTCAAATGTTTTCATTTCTTTGCCATTTTATTGTACATTCAGATTTTAAATTGTGTTTTAGTGGTGCTACCCTTATTCAATAAATAAATAATTACACCTTTCTAGATGAACCCAGAGCAACCATTATTGATGATGCATTAGCGCAGTGGTTCTCAACCTTTTTTGTCCCATACATCAATTATCCAGGCTAGACAATCATTCCCTTTTCCTTTCCAAAATATGAAAAATGCATATACATTTATTTAAATTTAAATTACTTTTAATGTGTTTTATAAATTAAACAAGGAAAAGAAAATATTGATAAATATCAAAACTTGAACAAAAGAATTTTTTTGATTCATAAGCTAAAACCAAATGTTTAGCAGGTAAAAATAAACGGCTGACCTCATTCTCCTCCTGAAATTCATTTTAAGAGGGGAATTCCCCTTGGTTGAGAACCACTGTATTAGCAGTACTGGCTAATACGATTATGCCTATTATGCATGGATTTATGTAACCTTTTTCAGGAGTTTTAATTCGAGTCGGCAGGCCCCATTGTAACCCTCCTAACTTTTTTTTTTATTATTATATAGCTTTTACCTACTTTACATAATACTTTATTATTATTTATGCTAATAACCTCAAATGATCTGGCAATTTCTAGATCCTTAGAAAATATAAGAAAAACATTTTTGCAATATCACATGACAAAGTGGTGTAAGGTTTTAAGAATAGGTATATTAATTATGTAGATGATTAAATAATAATTATCTGCAGCAGCTATTATTGTCTTGAATATTTGTTCCTGTTGTTGTTATATTTGTAAATGTTATCAATTTATAAATAAATTGGTAACATTTTAAGAGTAGCAGAAAAAATAACTGATAAAAATTAATCATTACAAAATATAAAAGCAGTCCTAGCATTTTGTTTCAATTTATTTTCTGAATTCTACTATAAATGCTTAATTAAATGTTTGCAATAAGCACTACTAAACACATTTGAAATAACTTCACAGATCAGACATCTGTCAAATTAAATATATATTCAATTTATTACTTTATATAAACATACTTAGCAGATAAGTTTACAAGTTAAGGATTTCAATGCTTTTAAGAGGAAAAGGATAGTAAATTAAACCGATATACTGTATATGTTCTAGAAATCTCATTGCAGTCAAAATTTTATGTGAAACCGATTTTTGAGTTATAAATTAACATACTGTACAATTTTTATGGATAACTTTTAATTTACACTAACATAATTTAAAGATTCAGTATTTTTCATTCTACCTAGGTGATTCTAACAGCTCTAAATTAAATCAGGGTTGCCACTCAAACAAGAGAATGAAATTCCCTGACTTTTCCAGGTTTTCCAGGAGTGTTTTAAGAAAATTCCAGTCTATCCGCGTAATGCATGTTGACTGTGCTAAAAGGTAAATTGATTATGGTATCACTTCAAAACAAAAACATTTGCCAATTACATATGTCTCATATACATATACACTATATATAATCTCTAAAGCGTTACTATTATAATTATAATAAGAGTTGTTTTCTCCACAGAAGATTGAGATTAGAATCTGCCCAATCTGGATTAAAAAATGTGTTTTTTTTTTCTGACATTTTGCAGCTAAATGAATGAAAGAAATCTATTTAATGATATTTTTAAATAAATTCAGGTACTTTATATTTATTTAGCAGCATACATAAGCAAAAAATATGTGCATTAAATTCAGTGATGGTATGTCATCATACTGCTAGAATTAGTTTCAGGATTACGGCAGAGAAAATTTCCTGAAATTTGAAAGTATTATTTACTACTAATAATAAAGAAATTTGGGGAGGGGAAGAAGCAACATTAAGTGATATGAATAACATTAAAGATAATTACTTAAAAATTGAATTGGAATAATCAACGATATTTTGGTGAATATAAAATAGTTAGCCTAGGCGACTAATTACTATGTTTTTATTTTACTGCAAAATGACAAATAAGGCATTTATTAAAAAGAAAAGGTTTAAAAGATTTTGCGATAAAATTCTAGTATACGCTACGGCCTTGGCACGATTTTGAAAATTGTTGTCAACACCAAAATGGCCTGTTTACTGCTCATCACAGTGTCACCAAATCCCATGTGTACCAATCTGCAATGTGTACCAAATTCTGTGTGTACTAAATCCATAATGTGGAGGTTATAACAGAATACATGGAGGCTATTCTAACTTTCCACGGTACCATGTGCTAGGATTAAACCAATTTTGTTTTATACCAGAATACGCATTTTCTTTACTTCAACATGTACTGCACATGCGCATGAGAGTCTATTGATTCTTGAAGTTACTGGAAATTTACTTTGCCTTTCTAAAAGACAATTTAATTGGAGCTGCAAAAATTGGCCCTAGGCCAGCTATAACCGAATTACGCTCACGCTATACATCATTCACTGAGAAAATGATCGCTTCCAACATCGGTGCAGGACTCGCTTTCTGGAGATCACTGTATGAAATTCATCAACTCCAGATTTTGACCAATATATTTAAATTCCTTGACTTTTCCCTGGATTTCCCTGACTTTTTTCGGTTTTCCAGGTAGCGTGACAACCCTGTTAAATTACAATAATACGCATCATTTCTGTTGATTTATATTAAGTACGTATAAATAAATTTTTGGAAATCTTTCAATAGCAAACATGTGCGATTTAAAATTACATTTTATTTTTATCCATAATTGTGTACTTTAAAAAATATGCATATTAAATTATAATTATGCACAGTTTTAAAGGATTATCTTAATCAGAAATCAGAAAAACAAAATATCTTTTATAGAAATAGAAATTATTTTAATTCACAGTGTGGAAAAACAAATATTTTATACTTTCGTTTCATATACATTCAAGAATTATTATGGAAACACTAAAATCAGTATATTCCTATAAATTAGATACTGACCAATTCTTCAGTTGTGTAATATTCATTGGCTTTTTTCATTTCTGGCATCTCTAAAGATACCTAGAAAAGAAAATTACACATGAGTAACATAACTTGCTGATATAAAACATTATCAAGCATTTGCAAATCACAATGAAAATATAATTAAAAAAAAATAAATACCTATCACTGCCCCATATATATATATATATATTTTACATCATGAAACCTTAAATGAACCATGATATTGTAATTTTTCATTTCCCTTGCAAGTACTGTAACGAACAAATTTTGACGGGTTATAGCAAAGGTAACGGCTGAATTCATGGATGCTTGAAAATACAAAGAACATTGCACCCTTCAAAGAGAATTTTCAGGGCTGGTAGATGGTGCATTAAAAGGCATACATCAACTGGTTTCTATGGTCTCACAAATCATTATTACAATGTTTTGCTTTAATTTTAATATTATATCACTCATGCTTGAATACACAGATAAAAAATTTGTATAATACCTTACTTTCTAGTCAGCAAACAGAATTGTCATTTCCATTAACAATAAAATGTTATAACAAAATAAATACACAATTAAGTAATTAATAGTTAAAAATTCTTTGGTCTTTTTCAAAAAGCAGCCAAAAATTCTTCAACAGAGACACGTTTCTGAATTATACCTGCATAAGTATTGAAACTAATTCATTAAAAAATAAATCAGAATGAAAACAAAGGAAGGAATTTAAAGAAATTAATATTAATTAAATTTAACAAAATTATTAAAAAGCCAATAAGTAATTAAAATTTTACAAAAATTTGAATTTAAGATAGAATCTCCCCGACGTAGCTCAAAATTAATAGTACATTAACCTTTGAAGAAGAAAATTATAAAACTAAAATTCTGAATTAATTTTTTTAAAAATTGGATGGAAAAAACCACCTTTCGCAAAAAATAATAATAATACAGGAGAACTAAACATGTTTTTATAAGATGGAAATGGTTAAAAAAACAAAAGTAATTGAATTTAAATATAATGATGGATGAGATAATGTAATTAGAAAAAATTTTATATGTAAATTACCTAAAATTTGAGAAAGTAACTAATAATTTGTAATGAAAGTTATGTAATTGTTATAAAGCACAAGTTTCTACACAGAGGAAAATGTATAATTTGGAAACAAAACAAAAAAGGGGGCAACAAGCCTAATTTTAGTAATCGGAAATAAAATTTAATTAGAATAGGTTAAAGCAGTAGTCTCAAACTGGTGGACCGCATGCTGCATCCGGCATTTGCAGCAATTTTATGAAACTTGTAAATACATTTCAATTATGTACTTGTTGCAAAGATTTCACAATTTTAATTATTTGCAATTCGAATTTATATTATTTTCATCACCATTAAATCTTACATGTATAACATGCCTTAATATATATAATTTGAGGTAATTAATTTATAATAGAATATAAATCTTATTCAAAAATTTGAAGATACAGATTTGATTAATTTCACTCATATTTGCCAAAATAGCATATGTATGCTCAATTATGAATTTTTGCACTAAGTGCTCTATTTGGGAATACATTTATAGCTGAACATTTTGTGAATGCATTTCAATTATGTATTTATTTGAAAGATTTCCAAGATTTTAGTTATTAGTCCGAGTTTACATTATTTTCATTACCATTTAAAATTAACATAAATAAAGCACCAGAAAATCTATAAATGAATCTAATTAATTTACAATGTTATATAAATCTTATTCAAAGATTAATTTTCATTCCTACTTCTGTCAAAAAAATAAATAAGCTCATATAAATTTCCGCACTAAGATTAATTGCTTAGTTTGGAAATACATTTTTATGTGAAAAACGTTTTCCACAGTTGAAAATCAGAAAAAAATTATATTTGAATTTGACCTGTTTGACCAATGAGCATTTACTGCCAGCGAAGAAGATAATTTCTAGAAATTTTTCTCCAGTGCTTGGACATTATACAAACAAAATTCATACTTATTAGGCAATATTAATGTACTTTCTCTGTGGTGAAAGTATTCAGATAAGAGGTAAGTAAAACAGTGGTTACCTGAATCATTGGGAAACATCAGTTGTGTATTTCCGGATTATCTAAAGTGTTCGAGGAAACAGTTTATACAATGCAAAACACCAAGAGTTCAGGATCAGCTTTTCTATTATATTTAATCTACACACAAATTTCACAGAAATGTTATAACAAACAGCAAAACTGGACATATTTTTCTTTCAAAATTTTTAAAACCAACAAAAAGAACATACATTACATCGTAACTCCTTGAGCACACGGTGAAACTTGCATAATCTTTTCCTTTCAGTTTACTCCGTTATGTGTGTGCATGCAAAAAACCGAATTCAAATCTCAAACCCTAATTCTACATTTAATATCTGGTTCTTTTCCCAGGAACAGTCTCTCTGGAAAAAAGTCATTAACAGTTTTTTTGCTTAGAAGGAATTATCTTATGAGCTATTACTGGCTTGCCAGAAGCAGTCTCTGAAAGACGATCTTCAACAGTCTTGGTTCATTGGGAATGGAAGCCTGTTTGGCTACAGGTATAACAGGGCCACTTTTATCAGTCACTTCAAGAGGTATTAAACCTGAGCATAGGGCAAAGAAATTCTCCACTTTTTATTTTTACCAGACGAACTTGTCCATCTATAGAAGCATAAAGTTCGATCACCCTGGCCAGAGGCCCATTCAGTTTTCTTGACATAGTCACTAGAAACCAGGACAATATCACCAATTAGGATGGGTTTCTGATTTTTAGGAGATTTTGAAGATTGACCTAAATTGCCCAAATACTCAGTACGAAATCATTTTCATAAATCTTGTTTGACATGTTGTAAGTAAACATGTCTTTTATTTAGAGATGACGAATCACAAACATCAAGATCTGCGATTCCTGATTCCTTAAGGTCATTCAAAAACATAGAAGCGGTAAGGAGTTAAAAATCATCAACATCTTCTGAAATATAGGTTAAAGGTCACTGATTAATCACACCTTCAATGCCACAAATAACGGTGTTCCTTTCTTCTAAGTTTAGTGAACCTCTTCCTAGAACCTTTCGTAGAATTCCTTATATTATACGTATCAAACATTTCCAAAACCCACCCCACCATGGGGCAGATGGGAAATGGGGATTAAATTTCCAAATGATGTTTCGAGATCCACTGTATTGGGAAATACGTCCCAATCAATTTTCTTCAGCAAATTCTCAGCTCCTGAAAAATTAGAACCACTGTCAAAGTAAAAGATGGAAGGTCAACGCCTTTGAGTGATGAAACGTGTGAAAGTTTTCAAAAAATGGTCTGTCGATAAAGACGTAAACTCCAGAAATACAGCTCGGTAGATGGCACAGGTAAATATAACAATCCAAGCTTTCTGGCCATTTCTTAGGATTAATGGACCAGCGTAATCAATTCCTGAGACTTTACCCAATCTTCTGGGAAAATGAGCTTCGATGATCGGTTTAGGCCACAAATTAAATCATTTGCATCTTATGCAGATCCTAATTACATTTCGTACTGTCATCCTGCATTGAAGAATCCAAAAATCTTCTAACTGGATGATTACAGGGTAGTATTGTCGGATATCGGAAATTTCTTGTATCTTTTCACATTAAGATTCGAGTCTTAACTTACCATTAGAATCAATGTAACACTGAATCATTTTCAAGCATTTATCATCTGGTCCTAAAAATGATTCCTTCTGTACAACTTTCAACAATGCAATCTCAGCCTTATTTTTTTCTTCTAGCACCAAGATTCCTGAAATTCGATTAGACTTTTCAACCTTACAATTGGTAAAAAACTGATACATCTACACAGTGACTCTAAGAAGTTGGTTGTACAAAGAGAAAACAGTGATAATACTTTTCCTGGGATTTCTCTTCATGATTAACTTTGCTAGCAATGATTTTTCTTTTTTCTAAATTTATTATATCGAAATCAGGAACCATACTAGAATTTTGCCATTTCTTCTATTGGTTTTTTCAGCCATGATGGTCCTTCCCACCAACGAAATTTTTGTAATGCTTTGGCATCTCACCCAAGTGATAGAAGATCTACTGGATTTAATGGACCTTGGAACGTGATGCCAGCCAAGAAGGGGAATTAAAAAATTTTATTAAGGTATCCAAACTGGTTCTTAGTACTGCCAAATTTGAACTTCGATGGTGAGAGCACCATTAGCTTTTTAAACTCTTTGGGATTTTCCACACTGGTAACACAGTTATCCACGTAAAAGGATTCCAACAGCTTGATGGCTGTTTTTCAACTTGGTGAGGAGCATTCTGTAAATGAAATTGAATGGTTGCTCCCAAAAGACAAGGGGAAGAAGAAAGTCCAAACATAACCCGTCTATGCTGGAAACTTTTTAAAACAAAGGTTTAAAGACAAGGGGGACAAGGGATTTGTCATAGAATGAATTTCTTGCACACAGTTAAAAAGAAAGGGAGCCCAATTTTCATTTCCCTTGATCCAATACAAAGCGTTTGCTGAGTCAGCCCAGGACAACTTCAGCACATTTTCCATTTTAAGGGCATTAGTCACACTCTGAGCTAATCCAACTCCAATGTTCCAGGAAAGCATTGGTGCAACTCTACATCGTGCCTGAACAAGTTGAAATAACATTGAAGTTTCCGTCTTACTTAGTAAGAAAACACAGGTAGCATAAGCTATCTTATTTGCATCACAGAGCACATGCAATTTTAGACTTCTTGGTACTTCACAACTGGGAATAAGACATCAAGGAATTTCTATTTCTTTCAGCTTAGAAAGTTCTTCTCTCCACTTCTCAAACTTTTTTGCAATGGTGGTAGGATGTTCAGTATACCATGATATTTTCAATTTCCAGCACTCTTGTAGGAAAATTTTTGGTCCCAAATTAACAGGACAGGTGAAGCCAAGGGGGTCAAAGATTTTATGTATGGGTGACAGGATTTTTCTCTTGGTCACAGCTGTGTAGTCTTCAACATTTCCTCGTAAATCTACCATCAAAGCATCATTCTTTAAATTCCACTTATGTCCTAGAACTGGAATATTCTTTTCATTTTTT